TCCTCGGGAGCAACAGAGTCAAACTCCTCCCATACAACCGTCTCAAGACCTGCTTCCGTCTCCTCTCCCTGGGCCAACCAGTCGGAGTCCAAGCCTTCTCGGATCCGAGCGACTTTGTCATGCAGATATTGTGCAAAATCCTCGGCCCTCCCCTCCAGGGGATCCCCCCCTCCCCTCAGTTGGAGGAGAGAGCGGGTCATCCTGAAGAGGGCAGCCGGGCGATTATCTGATGACGCGATGAGCGAGGAATAGTAGTTAGTCCTAGCCACCCTCATCGCCACTAGGTAGGATCTAACATGTATCCTAACCCGTGTTCGGTCGGATTCGGTTCGGCTGGCCCTCCAACAGCTCTCTAGGGATCTTTTCCGACGTTTCATCTCTCTCAGCTCCTCGGTAAACCAGGGAGCCAATCGAGATCCACGTCGGGTCAGAGGTCGCAAAGGCACGACTCGGTCCAATGCTGCGGCGGCAGTTGTCTCCCAAGCTGCCGCCTGATTTTCCGCCGAGTCGTGGACCAGATCCTCCGGATAAGGCCCAAGCTCCGTCAGGAACCTCTCAGGGTCCATCAGTCGCCTGGGACGGAACCATCTAGGCGGTTCTGTCTCCCTGCGGCGAGGGGGAGCGGTCCGGAAGTCCATCCTTAGGAGAGAATGATCTGACCATGACAAGGGCTCAATAACTATCTCCCCTAATGCCAGGTCATTCTGCCACTGGCCTGAGACAAAAATCAGATCCAGCGTGTGGATGCTGTTATGGGTTAGATGAAAGTCAATAATTCAATGTGGAATCCTGAAATGACAGCAATCTAATTATGATTCCTAAGTACAGGAATTTGAGGATCTTTATTTTAATAGAAGAGAATATATGTATTCAGAGTTCAACTGTGGGATCTTTGGTGTCTCTAATTTTAGTTGTTTACTTGCAGATACTTCATTACCAAACTAGGTAACATCATCAACACCTAGATAGGTAACGAAACATCTGCAAGCAAGCAACCAAGTTCAAACAGCACCAAGGACTCCAGAATGAATTTTGTGTTCAGAATGGAATCGCGATGCTCCAGAAAGAACAGAAAAGTACTTTAGGGAAGCCTCTAGTTATTATAGATTTCAGAGGTCCAAGTAATCTTGTGCACAGGAGCATTCATTAACAAAATTAGTTGGAATGCTAATTACATAGTCTCTTAGATATAATAACAGATGTTCTATTATTGAACACACACTGATAGCTTCATTAGATTAGATAACATTCTATGTGGGGCGTCTTTGTGCTTGCCTAGAAAATGCAGAATGTAAAGTAGAATCCTTCCAACATTCTGAGTGGGATATCTCATCATACACACAATGAGTGTCAATTTATCAAGCCAAGTTCATTCTTCCGACACTAAACAGATCAGCACCAGGATATTTAATATCCTGTTACAAATCTGAACAATCACTATGATCACCAGAAAGTCTGTGTATTGTGACTGACAATGTCATCTTGTAGTTACAGAAACAACTGGCAGCTGTGCTCTAGAAAGCTCCTTTTCTTCCTTTCCCCCCACCCCCAATCTGTGACACCTGTCAATGTGTCCTTTAGTTGCCTGTTGAAGACTTAATTCTTCCCCTGGGATTTCTTTGAATGAAAACATCATGATTAGCTAGTTTTATTTATTTTTATATTCTATTTTACCATGCAGTTTTGATTTTTACTCATAAACAGTTTTAACTTTTAATAACATAAAAAGCAGTGTTAAATAAACAAATCAACTGTAAACTTTTACTGATTATTATTTTTTTTGCCAGCAATGATATTTTTGGAGAGTCCTTTTAACTGAAATGATCATGTCTTAAAACCACTTCCGCATTAATGTTGATAATATTTCTTCATTATTGTCTTCCAGATAAAAATAAATAAAGAGCTCAGTAGCCTATACAAGAGAATGTTTGAACCACTCCATGTTCCTCCAGAGCTATTCCAAAGATTGACAGGACAGTTCTGCAATATTCAGAGTCTAAAAACAGGACAAGCATATGCTGCAGAAGATAAAACATCTGTGGATGATCGATTAAGTATTCTACTAAAAGGAAAGTATGTACCTGAAATAATTGGATCTGGATCTCCCCTTTATATAGTTGAACTTGTGAAAAATGCACACTCAATCTGAAAGAGATACCATAGGTGAGGCTACCAGATCTGGTCTGCACAAATCCAGACAACCACTAGATGGCAGCAAATAATTTTCAATATTGCTTTGCTGCCAATTTATACTCATCTGGAATTTTGCAGCTCAGGTCTAATAGACCTAAAGATAAGATGATTAGATTAAAAAATCTGCCTCCCATGGACAGGAGAGCTCTTTCTAGCCAATAGAAGAATTCTGCTGTAAAAGTTGCCTCATTAAATCTCTTTTCATTTAGGTTCATCCAAAATCTAATCCAAAAATTTGAGGAATCCTCTGAATAATGGACCTTTAGATGCTAAAGGAGATAAATAGAATTAGTGATGATTCTTTCCTTTCTCATTTATTCTGGCATATATTTATAGAACAATAGTCTGCTTAGGGCATGCCTAAGGATAGTTTATTTTGTCAGAGCATGCACAGTCTTATTGCGCTGAGATAACCCAGGAATAAACACAGTAAACAGTGGTCTCTATTATATGGTGGTTTATCTTACACTATCTACAATATCATACACCAGAAAAAAATATATATACACATGTTAATACAGCAGGCTCCAACACACCACAGTTACAGCAGGAAACGGAAGAGAAGAGAATATAGCAGCAGAGCCTTCCTTTTATACAAAGGCTCTTAAAGAGACACAGACCCAGCTGGCTCTTAAAGGGACATAGACCCTGCTGAGTCATTCCCATCATTACATCATACATTACATCAGCTGGTTAGCTTCTAAATCATTACCTTGTCATTACCATTTTAGGGAAACAAAGCAAAGTTAGATCCAGTCCTGTACCTTTTTTTACTTTATCAAGTTTGGCCTTGGAATTTTCTGGTGATCTGCAGTACTAACAGATCTGACCCTCCTTAGTGTTTTGGAAGATCAGCCCTTACAAGTTGCTACCTTCCATATCTTCTGTTTAAGGTTTTATTTTTATCTTTTAGTTGTCATACATTTGTTACTTATTTCAAACAGTGTGGTTCTAGGAAGAGTTGATTGTTAATAAATGCTCAGCTAAATGTCCACGCTTTTGGGAATTGTGTGTTTAAGAAATGTATTTCTTTAAACCTAAAAAATGTTTGTGACAATGCTCAAGTCACTTGGTTCATGACTCATTTCCTCTTATTACAGTGAGCCAGAGGGTTATCTTATGCTTTCCTAAATTCTTGGTAGCTTATTTATTTACTTACTTCATGTAGAGAAATTGCCTTAGTTATTAGGTAACAGAACAGTTTCAATTAATCCCATCACTGTTGGTAACATCAAGACTGAGAAACTAATGTTGGGAACATCACTACTTCTCCCAACCCCAACCCCACGGTCTTTTCCTCCAGCAGGAGTAAGGAATAAACCCTGCCTCAAATTAAAAACTGAATAGAAGCTTGGCAAGGACCTTAAAGTCCAAACTGAAGTTAACAAAGCAGAACAATACAGATTCCTTCTTCTTTCTTCTGCTCTTGATGTGCCAATTTATAATTCTTCCTCATTTGCTCTTTCTCCCAATGTAGCTATCCATAATGCTACATTACATCTGCACTGATGTTAATGCATCATTAATTGTAACAGGGAGTTGCAAATTATATTTTCACTGTGCTTAGCTTAATATTGGTTAGTAATGATTCATAATGAATTATAGCGAACATTGTACATATAAATGCACCAAGAGGGAATTAATGCAAGTAAGAGGGAAGGACGTGGGAAGGGATATCTAAGTGTAGGATATGATTCAACAACAGATTGCATTTGTATTGTGCCTCTTGGAGAATGGCTTCACTGCAGGGTTCCAGAATTTTAACTAGTAAAAGTCAATTACATTTTTTCTATGATAACAGACGTTGTGTGAATTGATCTGTTTGTAAATAATTGTACTCTATTAGAAATTAAGCTGCTGTATTGCCTATATTACCAGTTGTTGTAATACTTATTTTCATCATCAGAATGAAGGTCTCCTACCGAGGACATTTTCTGCATAATATTTACCCATGTGCCTTTATAGATTCCCCTGAATATCGATCAACTCAGATGAATCGGGGTGAGAAATTCCAGGTATGAAATCAACAGTTTCTTTAGGAATAAATATAATTATCATGGAGATTCCCCAGTGAAGAAAAAATGAGGAGCTATGAATTTGCAATCTTTGGTCTGATGCATTATATAGCTTTTAAAACTGTTGTTGTTGGAACATAAAATAATTCCCAAGGTTATGTTATTGGGGAGATTTAAAATGATATTTTTTTTCATTCACCAGATAAGTGGTTGAAGATTAATAATCACTTTGCTATACTTTATTGAGAAAAATCAAATTGTATTTGCATTTATCCAATAGTTATTGTACTATTGGAACTATAATTTGAAAATAATCACTTTCACCTGATCAACTAGAGTCTTGTTTGCTTTTGGGAGAAGATCCATTACAAGTAGTCCTTGTCTTATGACCACAATTGAGCCCAAAATTTATGTTGCTAAGTGAGAAATTTGTTAAGTGAGTTTTGCCCCATTTTACGACTTTTCTTGCCACTTTTGTTAAGCGAATCACTGCAGTTGTTAAATTAGTAACACGATTGTTAAGTGAATCTGGCATTCCCCATTGACTTTGCATGTCAGAGGGTTGCAAAAAATGATCACATGACCCACAACACTGCAACCGTTGTAAATATGAACCAGTTATCAAACATCCGAATGTAAATCACATGACCATGGTGATGCTACAAAGGTCGTTAACTGTGAAAAATGGTCATATTGGTCACATTTTTAGTGCCATTGTAATTCGAACGGTCTCTAAAGGAACTGTTGTAAATCAAGGACTATCTGTAGTAATTCAAGCTATTCTGTAACAAACTTGAAAATAGGACAATGTGGAGAACAATTCAGAAAAAGCTGATAGATACTTTGTTCAAAGATCTTTTTCTTCAATGCAAGGGATTCTAAGAGAAAGAAGCCCTTTTTTTCACTACAGGTTAAAGAATCATTGTGAGAGGAATAAATTAGTTATAATACAGCCTCCCTGTGCTGCAGATAGACTAAGGGATAGAATGAGCTGTGGGAAAGAGTTCAGAAAATACCAGAATCTAAAATGGTGACAGATGGCAGTTTTAGTGTCCTTTCAAAAATCTGCCAGATCTTTTTGGCAATTGATAAAAGCAATCAAGGAAATATGGGTATGTGTATATTCAAAAGGAAGTGATGACTTCCAGGTCTCTTTATTTGCAATTAGCCAAATTTCTTAAGTCCTTTTTCAAAAGAACAAAAAAAAAAGGTTGAAAATGATTGCTTGTCCATAGTATGACTTAAAGAGACTTGGAAAAATAAGGCCTACTACTTCAGCAAGTACCCAGCAAGGAAATCAACAGAAAAACAGGCTACAGTGGTGAGAGATCCTAGATTCCAAAAGTGATCCTCCAGCAAGCATGTTTCAGATATTAGTTGGAACCAATTAACCAGATCTTTCTTATGCAGTTGCCTAGAGCTGCTTGTTATTTTTTTCTTTTCTTGTTTTTTTCAAAATATGTGAGGGAGAAAAAGATGGAATCATTGCTGTGTCTTTCAGTAGTAAAGGGCAATCTCTATCTGGAAGCTTGGTTCCTATGTCTGACCAGGAATGACTATGCAGTTGTTAGTTAACTTGATAGTAAAAGTGAAACTGAGCCTGGTACGGGAATCTAAAATCAGTGACTTAGCGTAATATGTTCCACTCAAGAACTGGGCTTAATGCCATAGAAAGCTTGTTGTCATAATATAGTAATCGGAAGGCAAGTACTAGATACTTGTGCTCTTTCTGTCACATTATCTTCTTTGGGTTTTGCACACTGATTTATTCAGACTTGTAGAAAATACCATTTCTACCAGACACTGAAAGAAAACATCTCAGCCTTCCTATTCTGCAGCTTAATTTAAATTCAGTCAAAGCAAGAACAAGGCAAGAGTACTGAGTACTGAATTTATTTGCCAAGGGGGCTGAAATTCACACATCGTTTTGAGGTCAACCTGTACATTTTTGACCACAAGTTGACTAGAATTCTAATTATTTAACATTTATTCAACCCACGTGTGCTTTTTTTGATGAATGGAAAATGTTATTTTTTAATTCACATTCCTAAAACGTTTCTTTAAAAAAATGTAAATATGCATTTAATGATACGAAAACAATATTTACATAACAATAGTGTATGGAGCTCCCCACATGTTTAGATATTGCTTTAATTTTGTTCTTTTGTTTATGGATCATTGCGTGAGAGTATTTGGCTCCCTTTTGTTCTTGTTAATACACTGGTGCCATCTGCTGGATTCGGATTTATGGAGATGCCCTGAACTCAATCACTGATAGCCAGCTCGCATATATAAACAGTGCTGAAGGTAGTCTGCTGATCACATGATATTGTTTCTTCTAGTTAGATAATTAGAGCTTATGTTGGATGAGACAGAGGAAGAGCAATATTCCTCTTGAATAAAAGATCTGAGTTGCATATCATCAGAGTACAGTTAGTGCTCGGCTTACAACCACAATTGAGCCCAACATTTCTGTTGTTAAGTGAGACATTTGTTAAGTGAGTTTTGCCCCATTTTAAAACATTTCTTTCCACAGTTGGTAAGTGAATCACTGCAGTTGTTAAGTTAGTATATATATGAACCAGTTGCCAAGCATCTGAATTTTGATCACATGATCATGGGGATGCTACAAAGGTCGTATGTGAAAAATGGTCATAAGTCACCTTTTTTTAGTACCATTGTAATTTGAATGGTCACTAAATGAATTGTTGTAAGTCGAGGACTATCTTTATATGGCCATTTCAGAATGGGTCCATCAGAGATGGGCTGCATCAATCCAGACAAGGGCAGTAAAGAGATACAAACATCTTAACACTCTGCTGACAGCTGGTAGTGATATGGATTTTGGCAGTATAGATATGGTGGCTATATTTCAGAACTATGAAATGATACAGGACATTTTGTAATATCCCCAAAAGTAAGGGATAATGGAATTGTTTAACATCCTTGCCTTATATCACTGGTGGCGAACCTATGGCACGCGTGCCAGAGGTGGCACTTGGAGCCCTCTCTGTGGGCACATGTGCCGTTGCCCCAGCCTTGCCTCCCCCTGCGACCCCCTCCTCACCAGCAGCCCGTCTGGAGGAGTGTCGCCTCCGAGCGTGGCCCATGCGGAGCAGCGCAGCCAAGGACATGGCAGCCAGGCAGCATAGATAAGACTCTGTCCTCACGCCCCATTGCGCAGTTGATGCTGCGGGGTGCGGGCAGAGGGCGTGGCTGCCATGGCGCTGCTGGACTGCCTGGGCGATCTGTGGTGGGCCCTGGAGGCGGTGAGTGGCCCTGCGGGCAGGCGGGGTGGGGGCAGGGCAGGGGGTGGAGTGGAGTGGGGGTGGGGCCAGTTTTTGGGCACTCGGTCTCTAAAAGGTTCGCCATCACTGCCTTATATTATTTTTAGAATAATTAGAGGACAAATATGGTTATTATTCTGCTTCGGATTCAACTTTTCCATTTTCTTTGACTTTGACTACAATCAGGTAAACTTTACCTGCAAATATGATTTTCAGCACTGAAGTGTTGGACCAGCTGTGCAATATTACATTCTGTTATTAAAGCTTGGCTGTTTGAATTCTTGATAGTGACTCTCGTGTTTCTTTAAATTCGTCCTTTCCAATGTTTTTGTTTACAGGATTTTAAAGATCCAAATGAAGTGGAATAGAAAGCAAGGCTCTCAGTATAGTCAGAATACCGTTTTCATCCTTGCTGACATGAGAAAGTTCATAGAATAAAGAATTTTTAATATGCTGACTTTGTAAACCGCTTAGAAAGTGCCCTAAAGCACTGTAAAATGGTATATATGTCTACGTGCTATTGCTATTAACCATTTGCTGAGATCTGAATTAAATATGCTGTAGTCATTGGGACAATTAAAATGCTGTATTAATTATTAACTACACTTTCTTTATAGGTGTCAATTACTGCTGATGATAACTGCAAGTTCTTATGTTGGTCCAGAGAGAGACTTGTGTATTTTCTAGAATCAGAGCCATTTCTTTTTGAAATATTTAAATATCTTATTGGAAAGGATATTACAAACAAGTTATACTCATTAAATGATCCAACCCTAAGTGATAAGGTAAGCATTTCCCTTTTGACTTCCATGCATTATAGAACTGTTTTATAGATGAGCTAAGTTGTGCTCCCTTCTAAAACGCACAACATCCTTTCCCACACAGCTTCTTAAAACACAGTTGATTCAGGATGCCTATTTATAACTTTCTATTGAATGTGGTTTCTGTCAATTATCTTATCTTAAATCCAAGAGAAGATAAATATGGCCAATGGATGATGGCAATTAAAAGTTTTCTGAGGGAACTAAATAACAACTACTAATAGTTGGAATGCTGAATTTTATGTAATTCTATTGTCATGCAGAACAGTGGCTCCCAACCTTTTGGGCACCAGGGACCGGTTCCATGGAGATAGGCTTTTCCACAGACCGGAGGGGGCGTGGTTTCGTGTGCTGCCTGCAGTCCACGGATGGGGCTTCACTTGTTTGGGCAGACCGGTTTCTGGCATGCCACGGACCAGTGCAGGTCTGTGGCCCCGGGTTGGGAACCCCTGATTCAGAACAACACTTAACAGTTATATTTTTGATACTGTTTAATTATCAAGCATCATTTGATTTTGGGGATTTTATCAAGAACTCATCAAAACTCTGGAGGATTTTAAACTGTTTTGACATTTCACCTTTGTTCTGTGTTCATTAATACCTATATGGCCCTTTCCATCACAGGACATTTAGAGACACGGAAAACTTATTTCTGCATGACATTGGAACTCCCTTGTATAAATTGAATGGAATAAGTTTTACTATGCTTCCCCTTGGATAGCAGATTAGATATCCTAATGCAGCAATGCTCTTTTGAAAATAAAGGCTTTCTTCACTATCAAAGAATTTGGCAACTGGATTTTTAAGCAATGCTTCAAAGGAAAGTTATAAAGAAACCACTTCTGCATAGCTGTGAAGAAAGCTACATGGACACATCCATGAAGTCACATGTTCTTTACTTTTATAGCTCCATTGGGACAGATTTATTATACTTGATTGGGCCATACAAAGTAACACAATGCCACAGTTAATCAAACTCTATGGCTCTCCACATGCAATTTGTCTCTTTCTAAACAGACACTGTTAGCATAAGTGTCTACTTGCTGTTTTTAATCTTCTACTCCTGATTTATATGTGAAAAGAAGAGCATGAAATAGAGAGCAGCAGATTACCTAAAGCATAAAAACTGACTGGCTAAACCTAAAATGTGTATTTTAAAGTCTTCTCCCTACTATATGATTGTTTTTAAACACTATCCATCAGAATGATCCTGCCCCTTGATTTATCCTTGAACACTGTGTAGCTGCTTCTTTTCTCTTTTTTTTTCTTCCCGATAGTGACATGGTCAAACACTTGCTTATGTATGTAAACAATCTAGGGGTCTGAGAATGATAAAGTGGTTATTTCTGTGCTGCACATCAAGAGATATGTGGACGAGTTCTTATTCTGTCACATCCAGTTTACAGGTCTTCCCCACTCTAGATGCCCTTGCTCTGGCCTATGAATCTGTGGCAAAACTGGAATTATTTGACTAGAAATGGCCTGATTGCTTTTTGAAATTTTTTAATCCTAGTATTAATAGTGTACAAATTAGTGTAATTCAGCTCCCACTGCCCACCCCAAAATAGTAAAACTAGAATTCTTCTATTGAAGATCTTCTGTCCTACTGAATCTGTTTTCAATAATGTAATATCTTAGCTCTGGGGAATTATATAGCATCAATATCTGCCTTTCTAGGTTTTGCTGAGCATGATCAATAGTGAGGGAAGCTGTCAGTTCAGTGGGAGACCCCCAGGTTTCTACCCTGTTATATGTAAATTGCCACATAGTTCTTATTTGTTTCTCATAATTTAGTTGTCCAAGTTATAATTAGACATTCTTTCATCCCATTCTACTTCTCGTGGGGTTGTTGTGATGGTAGCTGAGAAAACATGCTCTGTGCAACTTAGAAGAAATGATGGCAGGATATAAACATAAGAGATAAATATTTATTAGCATCTAGGATTGATGGAGAATTGTGTATTCTTTTTTTTTCTGTGCAGACATCCCAAAAAATAGATCGCCAGCCCAGTCTGTGTTCCCAGCTGTCTGTGATGCAAATGAGGAATAGCATGGCAAGTTCAAGTGATGGTGAAGATGGATTACAACATTTTCTCCGTGGAACTTCTACTGCATCCACCCTTCGTGAGTCATTAACTAGTCAGTCAACATTTCTAGGCATCACTAAACATTGTAGTCAGTGGCGAAAATCATGTTGCTTTTGGCGAGAAGAGTTGGGAAGGGGAAAACGGAATCATGAAACAAGGTGCATCTCAATGCATTGCTGTAACTGCTTATATTAGGGCCAGTATATGCATTCCTATCACTCAGTGGTGACAATCAAAGAGTTCCTTTTCCATGTCTGACTAATTATCATAAACCAAACATTACAGACCGATTTTTCATTTGAATGTTTCTTCATATATATTTCTTAATGTGGGGTAGATGTATCCTCTTTCTGCTGTGAAAAGTTCAGAAAAACCATCCTGTTCATGGTAAGAGAGCATGAGCATACTATCAGGTTATTTGGACATTTTTATTAAAAAAAAAAAAACTACAGCAGGTGTATTTTGCACTAGTATAGGTCTAAGAGTTTGGATATCTGCTAAACACTGTGACCTGCTTACAAAGCAAGAATTTGCCCTCTGCATTCATCTTTGAAAGTATGAATTTCGGTACCTCATAGATTTTATGGAAATTAAACCTCATCTGATATTCTCATTGTAAATCAGTGGTGCATAATCTTAGGCCTCGGGATAGTGTGAGACTGAAACACCTTTAACTACCACTCTCTGGCAAAGCCTTGGAGGTAGCTCATAGAAAGCTCCAAATTTGTTACCAAATTTTAATTTTTAATGTGAGAGAAGAGGGGAGACTAAAGATGTAATTGGGGAACTCTATTCAATTTTAATTAAATGCAAAAGCCAATGAATTAAAATGAGAACCCACATGGGGTTTTTTTTGAGTGCAGTGCCCAGAAAATCCCTGAAAAGCTAGGATGGTCTGTGACCAGAAAAAAGTTGGGCCCCTCCCTTATAGAAATTAGCCCCCCTTTCACTTTCCAATCAATCAGTGTTTCATGATGTCTTAAATTGCAAAAAAAAAATAGAGTTATTATGTACCATATGATCTTATGCATTTTTACAGAAGTTGATCTCTTTATTTTCTGCACTAAGGAACTAATTCCACACTAAGAATATATAGGACTAAAACTACTATTAATAAAAGCATGTGTGTATTTAATATTTATTGATGTAAATCTGACTCTTGTGTTTTTAAAAATAAACCAACAAGGATTCACTTATGGAATGAATCCTTATGGACTGAATTTAAAGCATGTTTTGGGTCAATAGCATGAGGAATTCATCAACATTTTCAAAAATGGTATGAAATGGACTGAATGTCACATACTTGAGTGAAATAATAGTTTGGGTTCTGCAGAATTAAAGACTGTATCAGCATACAAAAGCTGTACCCATCCTTCCGAGGTTGGTAAAAGGAGGACCCAGATTGTTGGGGGCAATATACTGACTCTGTAAACCGCTTAGAGAGGGCTGTAAAGCACTGTGAAGCGGTATATAAGTAAGTGCTGTTGCTAAGTACTATGTAAACTTGTGTTCAACTGTAGAAATTCACAGAACAATTTATGCTGATTCCATACATGGTTTTAGGGTCACCATATCATGCTTATTTGCAATGTTAATTGCAATGTTAATTTTAGATTTGATGTAACTACTTATATTAACTGTAACTACATTACACTCCTTGAAGAAAAAACACTAGCTTTCCTCCATCTTGGGGACTGCAATTCCTAAAATTTACAGACAGGAAAATATTGGAGAAGTATCCTAGAATATGTTGTCCATGCCTTACCAGACCTCCTAAAATAGATTGTGTTTATTTCTGCTACTGTTGCTTAAGTTGTACTTAAAAGGTCCAGAACTGTAGCCCATGTGTGGCATGCAGCCCATTAGCATCCCTTTGATGGTATCTGGTGTGCCACAGAGTGATTGATTCTTAAGCTTTTTAATTTTTCCCAATTTTGGAATTTTGAAGGATTTCAAGGGGGGGGGAATGAAGCTTCAGGGACCCACCTATTGCATTACAAACATGCTGAAGTTTAGAAGCTGAAAGAATGCTTCAGTCAGGTTATGGGCACACCCATTGCAACTATTGGTGCCTCCTGCAGCTTGCCACATCTTTATGGTGCTTCCTGAACTCAAAACATGTATATTTTTCTGGGATCATATAACTACTCTATGTTAGGCCAAAAAATAGGCAGATTCTTTAAGGAAGCACTCATAGGCGTGATGTGCATGCCCATTCCAAAACACTCTTTGAGCATAACCCTGAACTGCAGCACACCTTAACATTACATTCCTTGGGGGGGGGGGGACTAGCTTCTCAAAAAATTAACCCGATTTTCTTTGCTTTTTTGATACTTAAACTATTCTGTAATATTCCATCTTCTGTTAAAAAAAATCACACATCTCCTTGTACACATACAGAGGTATGCAGGCACATGTTAATAGAAGGACTTGCAATGCTGAAGGTTGTCAGGCTAATGCGAACTCTTGTGGTGATGAGAAAAAAATGAAGCTTGAAAATCTTAAAATAGAAAACTTTAAAAAAATTACAAGAAAAATTGGCCCAGCGGATTTTTTGAATGAAGTCTTTGCATAGCATGCAAAACCTGGATCAGTCCTCCTAAAGCTGGGCAGCCCTGCTCTAGTTGATGCCAGAAAGAAATAGAATACTGTATTTTATTTTGAATGTTATGGAGGCATAGACTCCTCCCTTTATATACGTATCTGCCAAACCATTCTTGTTACTTAATGTGTCCATGCCATAAGGCATATATAGATAGGAATATCTATTTATTGTACTGTATTCATTATGCGCTTCATGGCCTTCTCATAGGAGGGGAAGGTGAAAAATCTTTTCCAGACTTGGTGCTTCAGAAAAGTATTAGCAAAGGATTATATCTGGCTAGCAAAGCAGGAAACATCTTAATGAGGCTGACTCCAGATTTTGCAGGAAGAGAGGAAGTGCATCATGTACAGACCTTCTTCATGCACAGCTATGCAGTTATCGGCAAGTGAAGTTATCCCCACAGGGGAACGGTTGAACTTTTCCTTCCATCAAACAGATGCACTTTATGTAATTACTGTGAAGTTGTGTTCCTTCTCAACCCTGTATGGCTCCAGGGTCAAAAATGCCCTGACATTGCATGCTCTTTGCAAGCCCCGTGGAAAGCATTTATATGCAGAAAGTCTAACACTGCAATCCTATATGCATTTACCTGAGAGTGCCTGAGCTGAACTCAGTTGAATTTACTTTTGAATAAATAGACATAGGATTATGATGGGATAGTATTTTATCAAATAGCCATTTGTTCGTTCATTCATTCATTCATTCATTCATTCATTTGATTTTATAACCTGCGTTTCTACTAATATTGAATGTTTCCAGTAACTAACAACATTTTTTTTTTAAAAAGTTAATAACAATTAACTGATTCTGAGCATGTATTGTGCAAGTAGTTGAAATGTAAATAAAAGTTAACTACTACATTTCCTATCTGTTTCACTTGAATCTTTGCTTCTGAAAAAAACGATCAGAAAGTACAGTATACCATTCAGTTTACTAACTCAGGACAAGTTCTTATGCTATTTCACTGAGTCTTGATATGTATTTGTAATAGTTACCAAATGCTGATCTGTGCAGAAAATGTTGAAAACAGTATTTTTCTTTTAAATACCAAGGGGAATGGGAGCTGGAATACTTGTTGCAGATTTGCCTTTTTATGCTGTTTTTTATTTTATAAAATAAAAAATAAATGTAAACACAGAACGTTCCCAAGCTAGCCCTGTGTCACATAGCAGAATTCCATTGTTTAAATTAAATCTTTTATTTCATGTACTTTAAATATAGTATACATTTTATATTATAATATAAAAATAATTCAGAACATTGGTTTTTCAACCTTTCTCAACTTGATGTCATGTTGGGTTGGAATGCTAAGAGCCATAATTCCATTACATTTGGACTGACACTAGATTGCGGAAGTGTGGTCTACTTTGGAACTCAAGAAGAGCTATTCAGAATGAATTGTAGGTGAAATTTTATGTTTTAATTTTCTTTTTCTATTTCTGGCATTTGATAGACTGTCTGACCCAAATCATTCAATTACTGCAGGATATTTTTAAAGATATTTTGGAATATTTGGAATATCTCATTACTGTTACTCTGTTTTAAGTATTGTATTGTTTTTAAATGATTGCCTTTTGAAAATGTTGGCAGGCCAACCATCTCCTTATTTAAGAACATCAGCCAAAATGAAACCAATTGAAGAAAGTGTGGAAGACGATGTCTTTGAAGGTCCATCTGCCACACCATTTAAAGGTCATGAGTGACTTCACAGGACATTCATGCATTTGTTCAGAAGAATTGCAACTGTAGATGAGATTTTCAAAATGATGGCGTTATTATCTGTGTTTTAATTTTATCCGCCTTTGACTTTATAGTATCTATGAGCAAACTTTTACTGATCACTCAAACTGTACTAACCTCCACCCCAAAAATCTTGTTTGTTTCAGTACATCTATAAGACCTGTTTGGGCCCTCTTTATGCTTGAATTAATGGAATATGAGGAACTGTATGAGGAATGGAGGAACTATATATACATAGGGCATTTGTGCACACATCTGCCCCCTGTTCTAAAGTAAATGACAGCCTTCACAGCATCTGAAGTGCCACATGTGTATTAGCCTAGGCACATAAGGACAGTGCTTTTTTTCTAAAAAAAAAAAAAAAAAAGGTGCTGGAACTCACACACGTCATACAGCCCGCCTTGCCTACCTTACAAGGTTCCATCCCAAAAAGGTGCCGGAACTCCGTTCTGGGCATTCTATGAGAAAAAAAGCCCTGCATAAGGACATTACCATTCAATTACATTGTAATGAACCACATGGATTATATGGAAATTAGTCCCACTAAAAGATATGTTTATTTTAGCTTTTTAGGCAATCAGTAGGACATGATTCATAAAAAAACCTTAGTGTACAGTATCCGATTTGCCCAATATAGAAAATGTAGGTTTACTACAGTATTGACATGTATCTCCCGAATATCAAAATTCTGGAAGCAATAACTTACTTGTTAAATTGGCAAGGGAGAAGATGGTTTCTAGCATCCTTTCCTGTCTTGAATTGGAAAATGATTACTACTGTCAAGAACAAAAGTTCTAATTAGATATTGTGTAGTGTGCCACTCACATTCTGGCATGTGTATAAGTGAACAGTTCTCATCTTTCCTCACTTCCTTACGGTGTCAATAGGGTTGATTCCAGGCAGAAGCTTAAGTCATTAGTAACTTTAAAACAGTCGACACCTTTCAATGTCATTTATTTATTGAATTTATTGGGGATTGTTTTTATTATATTTATTTAGTGAAAAATTGACACTAACATCACTGAATTATAAACTAAACCTATTTTATATATAAATAAGCAAGCATGCTTCCTAAAAACAGAAGCCATCCAGGCCTACTGTTATTTTAAAGTTTATATTAATGTAGGACTATTGGCACCAAGGATAAACTGAATTATGTAGCATAAAAATAATAGAAATATTGAGATGGTCTCTTTCCATCTTAATTCATCTAAAACATATTGAAGTAAATGGGCCGTCCAGAAACATAAAATACAAATAAATAAAATAAATAAAATAAATAAAGAAGTACTGTCATCAGTGAGAAACACTTCTATTCCCATTTTCTTAAAATTTACAATTTCATGCTTAATTTTTTCACTGAAGTTGGTGACAAAGAACAGTGTTTAATTTTATTGTAATTATAGCTGATTCAGAAAATAACTAGAAACAGTCATCTTGTACTGACAAGCATCTTATGGAAAAAGCTCTAAGGTAAAAGAAAATACATTTGTCATGACAGATGGCTCTAAAATCAGCAATTATTTATGTGATAGCTATCTTTGAAGATCTTTGTATACTGCACAGTTCTTGAAAACTGAAGTTTAGTATTAAAAATCCAATGGTCAGTTTGTGACATGGAACAAGTTTATTTTTCTACGTATTTAATTCTTTTGATAAGAGACTGCCATAGTTGTATCGCGGATAGAATTATTATTATTATTATGGAAAAACTTTACAGTTATACAATTCCGACTTAGAAAGTACTAGACTGGATAAACCAAAGCAATTTTTAAAAACTGAATGTACTTTGTGCCATTATAAGTCACTGTTATGTTGCATCATTTCTAATCAGCTTGAACTGAATTGACTATTTCAAACCTGGACATAGGAGAAAAAATTAATTAACTTTCTGGTACAAGAAAACTGTTAAAAGAAAAGCATGTGGTTTCAAAAGAAAGCATTTCTCTATATAAGCTTCTATTTTAACAGCCAAGCAACAGTTTTCATGGCCTGTATGAGTGATTCTTATGGTACTGTGGCTATATTTTTAACCATTCAGTGAAATATACCTTTGTGGCTGTAATGGATTTTTCCAATGAATTCAGTCCAAGTTACATTCAGTTATTGACAGGTTTGCCATTAACATTATCAAATTATATCTTAATGTTAACTCCACAGATAATTGATTAGTCATAAGGTACCAACATAACTCTTTTGCCTCTTTCCTTTTCAAATTTTGCTGGCTAAATTTATGGATTTCCCTGCAACAATAAATAAAGTAATAAAGTTTTTCAATAAGCCTCATATTGGTACTTCATTATTGCAAAACTTTCATGTTGCCATCAACATGAATCTTAAAATCAGTCTTACTGTAACTGGATTCTAGTACATAGTCATGGAAATGATACTGCTGTTAGATACAAATGAATGAGATGATGAAAATTGTGGTCATCTCTCAGGGAAATATTTCTGTGACATAAAGTGACATTTTTCAAAAGATGGGACAAACTTGTTTAAGGGTAAGTTTAGAATTTGGGAAGAGCCCTTTTAGTGCAGATCAAAAGCTTGTCTATCCCTGATTCTATTCCAATCGGGTCCAATCAGTAGAAGTCTATAAACATAAGTTTGCAACAATTCTAGTAGTTACTGCTGGTGCTACCCTTTCCAAATTAATGTAAACTCTTTTCTAAAGTTGATGGCTGGCATTACTTTTTAGTAAAGTCTGTCTTTTAACTATGGTTGTATTTCTACAGTATATGAAATCATTGTTTGCTTAACCAAGGTTTGGGCTTATAGAAGATATTAAACCATAAAAGCTGGTTTATACATTACACTTTGGTTTAATCGCAAAACACAAATGCAACCTCTGTCTTTCAGGTATCTCTTAGCTGAGCTTACTTAGTTACAATCCATAAGGGACATTCCAAATGACTTTCTCTCAGACCACATTTTCTCAGGCTTCATCCTAACCTAGAGGTGTCAAACTGGCAGCCCGCAGGCCAGATGTATCACACACAAGCCATGCCCACCCCGGCTCTGCAAAGGCAAAAAATGTAATGATACGTCATGATAGTCACGTGATTCGATTGAGTTTGACACTTGTGTCCTAACCAATCACTCACAGAAGAAACAGTGCTAGTAGCTTCCCTATGCCTCAAGTTTCCTTCAGACTGAATTCCTATGGTCTTCAGATCTTTCCCCCATACATGCTGGCAGTATTGTTGTTTCTCTCGTGGTACAACTTGTGCCAGCCCCTTAGAAAGTCCTTTCTAATGGTAACTGAATTTTCAAACAATTGTTTTCTTTTCCAAAGTGAATTTTGTTATCTGCCCTATACCTATATAAATCAAGGCAACTTCTCCGAGCTTTATACTCTTCACAGACTATGAAGTTTCTCTTTCGTAAGCAACTGCTGTGTAGTTTTGTACAACACATATAACCATGGTTATTTTAAGTTTTCTTAATCCACATAGGATGCCCAATCACATGGGTTGGAGTCACGCAACCACAGAATCACAAATCAGTCAACCACATTTGCCTTTAGCATAGTAAATAGCAAAACCAGTCTTCTAGTTTAATGTTAGTTTAGTTACAGATTCCAAAAGGAATTGAAGTATCTACATTTCTTGGTGACAACAGTATCATTTGAGCTGTATATGTTATTGGCTTCTTTTAAAAAAAGAATACTGAATGCCTGTGCCAGCCGCAAATTGGCTAATTTTTAAGAGGTATTTGTTGAATCAAATCAAATTTTTATTTCTTGCAAATCTCTTCGTAACCATTTTCAACTTGTCCTAGTCTTTCTACTTACTGTGAACAGTAAGTAGCGTTACCTAGCTGGGCTAGGGCTGCATCAGCATTGCAGTTGCCCTTGGGGGGCTGGGTGGGTGTGGCCTGCTGGGTGGGTGTGGATGGAGTGGGTGTAGCCTACTGGGTGGGCATGGCCAGCTCTACATTGTTCGCGTCAATGGTGCCTGTGGGGGCCTGGATAGGAGTGGGACAGATCTGAGGGTCCCTGGCAGAAGGGGGTGGGACCAGGGCAAGTGCCAAGGCATGGTCCACTGGAGGAGCCTCACTGTTCCTCTCAGGCCATGCGAGGGGGGCTGGATGGTGGTGCGGCTGCCCGGAGCCCTGGGCAGCAGAGGTCAAATGCCCAGCCTGGCCCTCGAGCACCCATGGCACCAAGCCCAGCCCCACTTCCCCAAGGGGGCGCCCAGCTGCACTTATCTCCTCCTCAAGGCTGCTGCTGCTGTGCTTGCTCTCCTTAGCCAGGTTATTCATGATGGGTACCAGGGCAAAGTCAGAGGGAGACTGAATGTGTTTCAGCATAGATGGCCACCACAAAATTGTACATTGGCTCCCGGCCGGCTGGCCTGGGCCAAGGCCAAGGCAGTGGGAGCCGTTCCCTCACTGTTTTCAGGATGGCTTCGCGGGCCACATGAAACCACTTCACGGGCCGCATCCAGCCCCCAGGCCTTGTGTTTGACATGTCTGACCTAGCAGATATGAGACGTGGAATGGAAGATATGAGATGGATGACATTGCCAGCACTAGCTTGGTAAAATCAGGGGCCACCTTGTTTTAACATATATAGCTATAACATATTATAACAACTATACAGGTAGTCCTCGACTTACAACCACAATTGAGCCCCAAATTTCTATTGCTAAGCAAAACAGTTGTTAAGTGAGCTTTGCCCCATTTTATTACCATTCTTGCTGCAGTTATTAAGTGAATCACTGCAGTTGTTAAGTTAGTAACACAGTTACTAAGTGAATCTGCCTTCTCCATTGACTGCTTGTCAGAAGGTTGCAAAGGGTGATCACATGACCATCACCCCGGGACACTGCAACCGTCATAAATACAGGTCAGTTGCCAAGCATCGGAATTTTGATCACATGACCACAGGAATGCTGCAACAGTCGTGTGAAAAACGGTCATAAATCACCTTTTTCAGTGTCGGAACTTTGGTCACTAAACGAACTGCTGTAAGTCAAGGACTACCTGTAGTTATTTTTATATGTTCGGTAATTTAATCCCCACAGCTCTTTTCTGGATTATCACAAAGCCCTGAAATACATAATTTACTAATATTATTTAGAAGAACCTTTGGAGCACATATAGTTAGTGCATTTCCTCCCCTCTCTGGGTATCTTCAGATACATCTTTATTAAATCTTTCATTTTTAACAATTTTGTATCTTTTTGATTGGATGTTCTCATCATCATCCATGATCTTGTTCTCAGCTCATCCAAGGCCATCCTTTTATTTTTTTTACTGAAGTCTGTAATGTAAGATCAGCATCTGAGCTCCACCCAGTCCTGTGTCTATGAGTAGACAAAGTGAAAATTACCAGATTAC